GCCGAACAAGCCGCCGCTATCACCACCAATTTCGCTTCTTTCCCTGAAAACATCAATAATCTGGTTCAGCAAACCCTAAAACCCTTCCTCTTCTTCAAAGCCGACGACCAATATTCGTTACAACAACAACAACAACAACAACAACAACAACAATCGGTTTTCCCGTTCCCGTTGCCCTCAACCACCGCCACCGACACCGCCACCTCCCATCTCCTTTCCTCTCTCCTCAGATCCTCGCCTTCCTCGGTGAGGGATGCAGAAGAGAGAGGAAACGACGGAGACAACCGCAAGGGTGGATTGAGGGTGAGGACGGTGAAGATGAAGAGAATGAAAGGGAGGAGGAAAGTGAGAGAGCCTAGATTCTGCTTCAAAACCATGACGGATGTGGACGTTCTTGACGACGGTTACAAATGGAGAAAGTACGGCCAAAAAGTTGTTAAGAACACCCTCCATCCAAGGTCCATTTTCTCTTTATATATATATATTATATTCCTTTGCATGGGTTAATAACAAGTATGCCATCATCATAAATTTTTTTTATACTAAGCTTTTTATTTGTTAATGTGATATTATTTATGACTATATAAAATTAACGAAAATAAAGATGGGCAGGAGTTACTATCGTTGCACGGAAGAGAATTGTAAGGTAAAGAAACGAGTAGAAAGATTAGCAGAAGATCCGAGAATGGTAATAACGACCTACGAAGGAAGACACGCTCATTCACCGTCCGATCCTAATTTAGAACACACCAACATGGGTTGCCTCAACACTTTGTTTTGTTAGAATAATGTGCATGCTTTTATGTTTAAACTTTATGATTGTTTTGCATTGTAAATTATGTTTTAAAATCAAATAATATGTTACATATTAGGGCTGTTTTAATGAAATGAGTTACTTTTTAAAATCGTGCGTATCTATTTAGAAACTGTGACTCTCCGTAATAGAATGAAATTTTCCATTTTGAACATTCCATCTCTTGAATAGATAGAGAGGAGGGCAGAGCATTTTTTGATCTTTTCGTGTTGTCAAACAGTGAAAATAGATGGCAGAGTGTCTAATCGAATTGATTGGGTCATGTAGGAACAAGGTTCAAGTCTATCGGTATGTTAGAATGTCTCAGTTGTATACATCACTGCATTTTCACTGACATGGCTAAGTTATGACTCTGATACAATGTTCGAAACTAGGACTCTCTACCATAGAATGATATTATCCTCTTTAAGCATAAGCCCTCACGGATTTGCAATTGGTTTCTCCAAAATGAAGCCTTGTTCTAATGAGACGTATTCATTACTTATTAACCCATGATCAACCCCCTTACTTAGTTGACATGGGACTCTCCCAACATTTTGAGAAATGTTGGTTCCCAATAATATCACATTTTTTAAAATAAATAAATAATTAATTACTTAAATATCACTTCTTTTTTAAAAGAAATGATTATGTTAGGATTGATGTTATTATGGAGTGGATATTTATGTAATTAAGTTAACTAGGAAGACTATTTGTGTACTTATGGTATATCTACTTGGGTTATTTAGGCCCAAATTTCTAACACGGTCCAAGTGTTATGGGCCTAAATTACATGTGGTTTGGGCTTTTATTGGGCCGAGCGAATCGTAGGCCCATCTGAGCTGTTAGCTACATGAGAGAAAGAGATTGGAGTCCATCATTGTGGTTTGAACTTGGGCTTTTAACACAAATCTATATCAATACGAGATTATTTGTTTTTATTTAATAACAAATTTAAAAATTTATTTAAGAGAAGAAAATTTATTTAATAGCAAATAATTGTGGTGAAATAATGTAATTTTGAAAAATAAAAATAAAAAATGAAGATTTTATAAATAGAAATATAAAAAAGGAAACATGACCAAGCAGCTTTCTAATTAAGTTTAGCAAAGTAAAACTGGGTCAGTGACGGTCGAAGAACGTGTAAAGTAAAAACAAGATTAAGATAATTACCGGCGATAATAATAATTTAATCCTTAAAATAATAAAAACAAGACAAAATAAATAAATAAATAAATAACAAAAGAAACTAATGCACGTGAGGTCTACTAATTTCAACGTCGACAAGCTAATCTTTTGGAATTACTTTATTTTTTTCGTCACATAAATCCAAAAAAAGTAAATAAAATAATTGATAAGCTTAATATTATTTTATTTTTAGTAATATGTAATTAAAATTCTTTTTAAAGTTTAATGCACGTATAAAAAGTCGAGTCTGCCTCGTAAACCAAACAAAAAAATTTTAAAAAATAAAATATAATAAAACATACCCGTGGTGGGGCCCACGGGCACTTAAGGAGAACCCACGTGTTCCTTCGTGACTCGCACGTGCTAAACCCTAATTTCAAGGTCCTTCGACGGCAAAAACTTCTTCTTATCAATATAAATATTAATTTTAATTTTAATATTAAGTTTTCATTTTTAGGCCTTGAAATTTTAGCCTGTGCCTCACTCACACCAATACTAACAACAAAAATTTACACCAAAAAAATAAATAAATAAACATTCAAGGAAGTATTTTAATTTAATATTTAGAATGAAATATTATTATATTTATAAAAAACGTATATTTTTAAATATAATCATACATTTTTTAATTTAATTTTTGGGCCTTCAATATTTTTATTATTTTTATTAAACAAATTTAGAGAAAAATATATTTTGTAATAAATTTAAATAAATAAATAAATAAATAAACATTCAAGGAAGTATTTTAATTTAATATTTAGAATGAAATATTATTATATTTAAATAAATAAATAAACATTCAAGGAAGTATTTTAATTTAATATTTAGAATGAAATATTATTATATTTATAAAAAACGTATATTTTTAAATATAATCATACATTTTTTAATTTAATTTTTGGGCCTTCAATATTTTTATTATTTTTATTATTTTAAATATAATCATACATTTTTTAATTTAATTTTTGGGCCTTCAATATTTTTATTATTTTTATTAAACAAATTTAGAGAAAAATATATTTTGTAATAAATTTAAATAAATAAATAAATAAATAAAGAATGAGAAATAGTTGTGGAGTCCGTTCCGTTCACACTTGAAAATAAAAGTCCCGGTCAACGGAATTTGCAGATATACGGAATTCTGTTATGTTTTATTTATTTATTTTTTCAAAATTAGATTTCTTGTCCCTTTAAATTCCGGGCCCACTGCTGCTACTCTAATCAGTCGCCATCATACGGTTATCAACAATCGCTGATGCATTGTGCAGAAATTCTTACCAAATCAACGGCTCCCATTGCATCAACCGTGGACAGCGTGGGTCCCGCCCTACTTCAATCACATAACTTGATGAACTCTTAGAAATTATTTAATAATCCATCTAGAAGCTTATTAAAATATCTAATAAATATTTGAACATTTTAATTCTAAAATTTTATAAGCTTATTATTAAATCCAATCTTAAAAGTTAAGCAACCAAATCTTATAATTAACAAAATTTTAAATTTATAATTAATCAATTTTAAAAGGGTGAAGCAGAAAGGATGCACTAGCGACTAGCAAGACGCACGCGCGGATGGAGTTCTGATTAGGTGTGGTCGCACGTAGAGTAGTCAGTTTAAGTGGGACCGAAGGATTTGACAAGATGAGAATCAAACGGTGGAGAATGGGATATGGAAAGAATACAGAGAAACGACAGCACCGCCATTGGAAGACGACATTGTAGGGTAACACCTCCGACAAGTCGAACTGGGGATTGGCCCACGTGTCGCCCACCCAACGCGTGTTTGTTTCTGATGCTACTCCTTCCTACTCTCTCCGCCACATGATTCTTCTCCTCCCCGGTCCCACCTTTTCCATATTATTTTTTCCCATTCCACATCACACGTGGATTATGGCATTTATTTATTTTAATTACCTTAAACTACTAAATATCATCAAATAATTCCTTTGTAAAATTAATTTACGATTTTAAATAAATATTTCAACTTCTACCAATAAATAATAATAATAATAAGAAAAAGGGAATATTAAATGAGGTGCATGAATGAATAAATGTAATTGACAGGTAGAATATTAAATTCAAAAGATCCGTGAATTAAAATTCGAACTATTTTTACCCTTTATTCATTATTATTATTATTATTATTATTATTATATAACTGAATTTCTTTGTAATTTTTTTTGTTCGTATTTTTAAATAATTATTTTTATTTTTGGATAATACTGTGGCCCAAGTTTGGGGGACTTTATTCTAAAGTAGGCCATAATTTAGTAGAAGATGAAAGACCTTTTCTTTTTGAAGCAATAATTAAAAGAAACATTCAAAAAATAAAAATAAAAAAATAGGAAGGAGAAGAAAATGACATGCATATAAAATCAGCCTTATTTATTTATTTGCATGGATGACAAAGTTGGGCCTTTCTAAGGGCTTATTTATTCATTCTTTTTTAATTCTAATAAATCTTTTAACTTTTCGTATCAAATTAAATTTTATATATATTAGGACCTTAAATTTTTTAAAAAATCAGTAATAATGATAATGTTTTAAATAATAAAAATGAAGCTTTTTTATTTTTCTTTTATTTGGGAAATATGAATATTAATCTTGATAGCTTTCCAAAAGATGGGAACCGTTGATCTGAATCAAACGGTCACAATATTTTTTAATAAAATAAGTTTTTTTAAAAAAAATGAAGGGACACATTTTCCAAGATAGAAAAATGGGATTAAAATATTGTGCTTTCTGGGTCACGAGCATGGGTGATGCACACTGTCCATGGAAAAACAGACAAAACTAAATAGTTTATTCAATAATAATAATAATAATAATAATTACTGTTATTATTATTCTCATATTAATAAAATAAACAATAAGAAAATTATTTTTATCTTCGTACTAACGGTTAAAATCATTCTTAAACATGTTTTTAACGATGAGTTAATATCTACTAATAGTGAATTTGAGCTTGAGCCGGAGCCTAACATGAATGATAAATGATTGTCTCTCGTAATGTATAAACAACCAAAAAAGAAAGCATAACTAAAAGAAACTGTTTATATACACATTTTTATGAAAATGTTTAAAACAACTTTTATGTATAAAAATAAGAAAGATTACATACATTCAAATTAACCCTTTCTTTCCCTCCAAAAGAATTGTCTTCCCTTCTTCTCTGTTGCTTACTTGCCTTCTGGTTCTGGTACTTCCTTTAAGCTCATGTCTACGATGTCGACGGTGAATCCTCCGTTTTCGGTTCCGATTGTGGATTGGGAATCCATCATCCCCGACCCTGCTTGGATTTCCTTGAACATTGTCATTACTTGGATCATCGTTGGACGCCGCCACGACCTATCGTCTAAGCACGCAACAGCTACCTTCAAGTGTTCTAAAAGCTCTATCTTTAAGCTTGGATCTTCCTTTATGAGTTCGCGATCGAACACATCGGTTAGGTCCAATTTGGCGTGTTGTTTTACCCATCCGACGAGATTGTTGTCACCGAAATCAGCAGAGTCTGTGGGTCGCTTTCCTGTTAAGAGCTCGAGCATGACGACACCGTAACTGTAAACGTCGCCTTTTGTAGAACACCGGAAGCTCTGGTAATATTCGGGAGGGACGTAACCGGGCGTTCCGGCTAATGTGCTGACACTCAAATGGGTGTCCATGGCACTCATTAGTCTAGCCATTCCAAAATCTGAGACTCTGGCTTCTAAGTTCTCGTCCAGCAACACATTGCTTGATTTCATGTCCCTGTGAATGATGTGAGGTAGGCAATTGTGGTGAAGGAAAGCCAGTCCCCTTGCAGCTCCAATGGCAATCTTCCTTCTTGCTGCCCAATTCAGTTTGATTCCACCCTTCTTCTTGTCGTGTAAAACGTCTTCTAAGCTTCCGTATTTCATGTACTCGTACACGAGCAGCCGTTCTTCTCCAACCTTGCAGTAGCCCAGAAGCGGTACCAGGTTTCGGTGTTTGATTTTGCCAATGGTTTCCATTTCTGCAGTGAACTCACGATCACCCTGTCCACTGACATGAATCAGCTTCTTGATCGCGACAGTGCTTCCATCCTTCAATCGAGCCTTATATACGTCGCCGAAACCCCCCGAACCAATCAGGCTATCGTTGTGGAAGCCATTCGTAGCCTTGAGGAGATCAGCAAATGTAAGCTTCCGAAGTGGCTTCTCAAATGTTGCAAGACTAATACTCGATGCTTCACGAGCACCGGTTAACTTCCAGTTAACCGTGGTCGTCGTGCCTGGAGGTGAATGACTCTCGACGTAAGTATCAAGAGTAGAATCCTTCTTTTTCCTTCGCTTCCTCGTCTCGACAACGACAATAATCAGTCCGAAAATACAGAAAAGCGAGAAGAGTAGCCCCATTGCAACACTCCCTGCAAGGGATGCCTGTTTCCTATGAGATCTTTGATGCTGAGAATTTGCACTTGCTCCTGAATCAACCCCACATGAAGGGAGAGGATACCCACATAGGCCAGAATTATTCGCAAATCCCGACGCTGGGAACGTTTCGAACTGAGCTGATTCGGGTATCGAACCATTGAGATGATTGTTGGACAGATCAATCTCCATGAGGGAGGAAAGTCCTGTCAAAGACAAAGGAATTGATCCTTCAAGCTCATTGCTTGATAGATCAAGAATGTTGAGTTTCGTCAAGCCACCGACCTCCTGCGGGATCGGTCCCGAGAGACTGTTATGTCCCAAATCCAAAATGTATAGATAATTTGTAGAACCAATCTCCTTAGGGATACTACCAGACAACATATTATGGGAAAGATCAAGAAAAATCATGGAGCCATTATGGTTAAAGGTTGGCTGAGTCATTCCTTTATAAACTCTGGTGAAATTGCAGGGACTCTTGCTTGAAATCCTGTTCACTTGTTCTTGTCTAATTCCAGCAAACTCGAGCAAATTTCCAGCGCCATGGCACTGCTTGCTACCATCGTTCTTAATGTAAGCATAAGACTTCCCTGTAATGAAGTTAACAGCAATGTTACCTGATTGACGAAACAACTCGGGAGGTATTGTTCCATTCAACAAATTGGTATTCAGGTCAAGCCAGATCAAGCTCCGACAATCGCCCAGCTCCGGAGGAATCCGACCATAGAACGAGTTGTTGCTGAGTTTAAGGATGGCGAGGCTCGGGAGGCGGCCGATCCAGGCTGGAATCTCTCCGCTCAACCGGTTATTCGACAACGAAATCCAGTTCAAGTTGGTGCAGTTGCTTAACCCTGAAGGGATTGTGCCAGTGAGCTCATTGAAATCCAGGATCAGATTCTCAAGCCCCTGAAAGTTGCTGAAATCGGATGGGATCTCCCCCTCCAGCTGATTCAACCACATGATCAAGTTCTTGAGCTTAGACAGTGATCCCAAGCTGGAAGGGATCGTCCCACTCAGAAAGTTGAAGCTCAAATCGAGAGAAACCAGCTGAGAACAATTGCTAATACTTGCAGGGATTTGACCTGTTAACCAATTGTTCTGGAGAAACAATTCTTTCAAACTGTTGTTAGGGTCTTCGCAGAGCCCCGCCGGAATCGACCCAGAAAAGTTATTAGAACTCAGATCCAAAGAATTCAAAGTGGAGAGATGAGAAAGAGAATCCGACAAAACCCCGAAGAACTTGTTGTCGGAAACAGAGAGTTTCTTGAGACTACTCATTTTGGCAAAAACGGCGATGGGGAGCTCACCAGAGAGGTTGTTTTTCGAAATGTCCAATGTTTCCAACGAAGAACAAGACCCCATAGCAGAAGGTAAAGACCCAATCAAACTATTAGAAGAAAGATCGAGCTGCACCAAACTAGAACATAAATCTGCAATACTTACAGGAATCTCCCCCTGGAAATCGTTGTTAGCAAGCGAAAGGAACCACAAATTGGGAGATGCAAACGAAGGGATTGGACCCACAAACTGGTTGCTGGAGAGATTCAGAAAGGTGAGTTGCAGACAAGACGACAGAGCATGTCCGACGTCGCCGGTGAACTTGTTGCCGGAGATATCCAAATGCTCCAAAACAGAGCAATCGCCTAAGGACGGAATACCCACAGAGAAATTGTTGCCGGAGATATCCAAATGCTCGAGTTTATTACACGACGAGAGATTAATCTCACCGCTAATTTTGTTGGCCTTCAATGCCAAGAGCTGCAAATTACCACACCCACCAGAGAAAATCCATGGAACTAATTTCGACCCAACAATCCGGTTGGAAGAAAGATCGAGGACCTGCAAATCGAGGTTGAATCGTGGGACAGAGTCTTTAAGTGGAAAATCAAAATAGTTAAAGGACAGATTAAGCGACTTGAGATTGGCGCAAAATCCCAAGTTAGAAACATCAGAAACAGACCCAAATAAGCCATTGACGGACAGATCTACAGAGGAAAGCAGAGGGCTACACTTGAATCCAGAGGGCAAAGAAATGGAGCCAGTAAGGTTAGTGGATTTGAGAGAAAGCGATTCCAAATGGTCGAGCGCCGCAAGCAAGGAGAAAACATGGCTGAAATTAGAGCTCAAAGACAAAAAGCTCAAGTCTATGGCAGAAACTCTGGTTTCCTTACAAGTAATACCAGAAAAGGAACATGGGTCGGCATTGGAGAGCCAGTTTTGAAGCAGGGCTGGGCTTGGAAGTGAAGATTTGAAGGAAATAAGCTTCTGGGTGTCTCCATGAGAGGAAGAAGAAGAAGTTGCAGAGGAAGCAGAGAAGGAAAGAAGAAGAAGAAGAAGAAGAAGGAAGAAGAAACAGAGCCTGAGAAAAAAGGGTATCATTGTTTTTATGTTAACAAGAAAACAGAGAAGGTGAAGAACAGTTTAGGGTTTGAATTCCGCCATTAGAGAGGGAGAAAGAGAGCTCAGTAGCTCTGGTTTTTGGTAGAGAGGGAGAGAGAAAGTGGGTTTTGGTGGTTAGAGAGAGAAGAAAAATGGGATGAGAGAGAAGAGTCAAAAGGGCGAGTAAGGATGGTAAGAAGGGTATTTATCAAGTTGAGAGAATGGGCACAGCTGTTGCTCACATGCCATGTGAGTATCTAACAAAATTTAAATAATTTTTTTTAAAAAAAAATTAATTAATTAATCAATCAAGTTTGAAAGTTGAAATTTTTAAATAAATAAATAAATAACAGCTTCTCTCTCTCCCCTACTTAAATTAAATTAAATTAAATTAAAAACTAATCTTTTTTCTTCTTTTAATTTTTTAAGGTAATTTTTTAAAAAAATTAATTTTGGCTTTCTTGAATTGGTTTCTCACTCTAAAATAATCACTTTGTCTCTCTAGCTTTATATTTACATACGTGTGATCAATGATTGATCCATCACCATCAATTAATCCATCCTTTTTTTTTTATCTCCCTCTTTTAAGGATTATTATTACTAATAAATAATAATAATAATAATTCTCTATATTTTATAAAAATTAATTAATGGAATTTGCAATTTCATTCCATTTAATAGTGACCCTTTTCAATTCCCATGCATTTGGTCAAGTTTTATTTTCATTCCTTAATTTATTTATAAACACTATTAACTCATCATTCACGTGTCGTGTGGATTATGTTTTGTGTTTTTGCTTTAACTAAATGGCTTATACACTATGATTCCGTCACAATTTTGGCTCTAACATATCATGTGAAACTTACTATATTGACAAGCACTCGTTTTCTTGACATGATTATATCAACGAGCGTTTTCCTGAAAATGTTGGTCGTTATTTTTATGTTTTTTAATAAAACAGAAGTTGCATTATCGGTGAGTTTTGAGTGTATTTTAATAAAAATTAACGACGTAGTTAGTTGTATTGAAATATAATGACGTAAATACCCTTCATTATGACTCTTATTTCAAGGGTATTCAAATGGCAAACGGAACGTGGTAAAAAATAAATAAACAACATTCAGGTGCCTTTATGGTCCTTGCTTGGGGAAGTTTTATGTTTCCGTCGGAGGGTATCCGATAATTGGGAATGTTCGTTTTGATTTGAGGACAATTGTGAAATTTACGTGAATAATGAAGGGTATATTTGTCATTGAACATAGTTTGTCGTATATGGTTCAGATAATTGGCGGATGAACTGTCTTTTTAGACCAGTTTTTTTCACTCCCCAACTTTCGCTGCTTCCTATATTATCTTGAAGTTATTAACAACAAAAGCATTAGCCCACTCGAAAAATGACCCAAAAAAATTGAGATTTTGTAAAAATGACTAAATATATATTTTAATACAATTTTTAATTGTATTACGACAAAAATACCCCTAACTAAGATTATCGTACATCAATTAGATAGTAGAACGAAACATTTCTTAGTAGACGCGTTTTAAAATGAATAAAAGTTCAAAGGAAAAACCTAAAGAGAATAATATCTGTTAGCAGTGATCTTGAATTGTTACATCGGGACCCTAATCTTATAAATATGTCTGGTAAGTTTTTTTTTTTTTTTTTTTTTTTTTT